TATTATTATTATTATTTTATTATATATTATAATTTATAAAATTTAATGTTTTAAAATATAATAAATTTTTTATATATAATTATTTTATATTATTTTATATTTCAAACAATAACGATTCGAACACGAACGAACGCATCACTGTTCGTGTTTGGTTCGTTTAAATAACCAAACGAAAAAAATTTGTTCGCGTTTGTCTCGTTTACTTATCAAACGAATCGAACACGAACTCATTGACGAACCGAACACGAACTGTTCGCGAACAACGAGCTTTTTTGACAGCCCTAATACAAATAAGTTATACGGAAATTATAAAGGAATTATACGAAAGTTACACACGATATAACTCAATATAATACCTGTACCCTTAAATAACCCTAGACGTACGTAATGCTGCGTTACGCAAATATTTTACCCAAAACCAACCCCACAAAGCCTATTTGCTGCGCCTAAAGCAGCAAAAGCCCGGCTCAAATAACGATAAGCCACTTAAGCATTAGTGCCAACTCAGTACCTCCCGCATCGTTAAGCTATAAAATGCAGTCCCGTCCCTCTCCATTCCCAAGCCCATCTTCCTCTCTCTTCCTCCTCCGCTCTCCTCCGCTCCGCTCCGCTCCTGCAAAGCATAACGCCCTCCATCGGCCTTTCTAATCCGACTCCATACCCAATTGCTCTCCTCTTACACCCAATCAAAAAATGGAGAGATGGAAGAAACAGCAGCCACAATCTCCCTCCTTCTCTTCTTCACTCCTCGACCTCATCTGCCGCTCCATTGACGATTCCGCTACCTCAACTCCGTGCCTCCCCGCTTCATCAACCGACAAGAAACGCCCACCACCACCACAACCTCCAGCGATCCTTCGCCGCTCGCGTAATCCCTCCGACGATCCTCGCCATCGACGCTTCTTCTCCACCACCATCCCCTCCATTTCCTCTAGCATCGTCGGATTCTCTTCCGTCGACTTCGACTCCACCACCCCCCATCGCCCTGTTCTCACCCGATCCAAACCCATCCGAATCGATCCACCAAAATCTCCGCAAACAAACAAGCCCAATCGCTCCATTCGCACCCGGATCCGCGCTCTGCAAAAATCGCCGACCTCTGCATCACCTGGATCTCGCCTCGCCGCCTTAATCAACACCATTTTTGCCGGCGTCGGAGACAGAACAGCGACCAGACCCAAGCTCGCTGGCTGCGTGGAGTATCCGGTGAGCTATTCGTCCTCCTCCTTTTCGAGCACCAGCAAAACGGGCCCATGTTTTAAAAGCCTCGAGAAGCAAGAGCGATCGTTGCCATTCTCGCCTGCGAGCATCGTAAATCGATGCTGCTGCGGAGATTCGCAGATGATGGTAGAGTTGTTGAGAGGTTTTGAGAAGATAGAGGATCTGGAGGATTGCGAAAGCGTCTCGAGCTCGGATCTGTTCGAGCTGGATAGCCTCTCTGTGTTTGGAGAGTTCACGGACGACCTCCCGGTTTTCCATTCCACCACCTAAGACTGTAAGTGAGTCAGAGCAGACTCAGTGAGCTGGCTCGAGCTTGGCTGTGATTCGCGAACTATGCTTGATAAGCTAGCAAGTCAAGCTCAAGCCGAGGCTCGCTCGAGCTCGACTCGAACTTGTTTACACTCTTACCACCACCAATGGGGGTGAAAGGAGCCCTATCGCCCATGGCTTCATCGAATAAAGCTTTTCAAATTATATGAATGACGGATATGTGAATGCTGTGAATTGCATACAGCGTGGTGCGATTCATATCGTCGTCCACATATTCAAATAATTAGACGTAATATTTTTTAAAATTTCATTTAATTGTTGAATGCGATCTGCATCATTATCTGTAAATTATTTTATCTTTAGGAAGTTTACATATATTTCCTATATATTTGCATATCAACACCTACACATTATATTATAAAGAATTATCTTTAACTTTTCAAAAAAGAAAAATTTATATGCTAAGGAAAATCTTTGTTGTCCCTATTACTAAGGAAGCTCTGTTTGGCGTAGTTGCAGCATTTCAGCTTCTCAGCTGCAGCTGCATTGCCCCAGTAAGCTGTGTGGGGAAAGCTGTTTTCACACAGCTGTGCAACAACTGTTACTGGAAAAATGACGATTCCACCCCAATTTTATAATATTGTTCTTAGCATATGTGGGAATGCACAGAGCTTTGCTGTTAAATTCATATTGCAAAAATATGTACCAACATCAGTTATTCATACAAAACAAAATTGAGATCTGAATCCAAAAAAATTTCACACATTTAGCCACCTTACAGAAAAAAAATATAGTCAATTACTGTATCGCATAAATAGCGTGATTGACAATTCATGAATTTCACCAAGCATATTACACAAACAACAATCATTTAGACATGTAAGATGCAATACATCATAAAATAATAAAAATTTTTAAAAGTGAAAAGAGGAATCTTATAACAATAGCTCAAGAGAGTTCTTTAAAACTTCATCAAAATGAGATATCTAAGTAGTTCTCAGACACTAAATTTAGTTTCAAAATCATATCAAAATGTAGTAGGATTATTGCTTCAAAGCAGAAGATTTTGGTTTCTCCAATTAAGTGAAAGTGAAACCAATAAGGAGAAGCCACTCACGGAGCTTATGAGGCATGGAGTCGACGAAGTAGAAGGCGCGTGCTTCCTGTAGATATGGCGAGACGGCGCAATTGCGACAAAGAAGGAAGGCGCGGGACGACACCAGAAGGATCGCTAGGGCTGCGTGGTCGATTCCTGGACGACGAAGAAGAAGGCTCGGGACGGAACGCTGGGGCTTCTTTCGCGAGGGCAATTTCGAATATCAGCGAGACGAAAGTTGGGGGCGCGGGGTCGATCCTGCGTCTCGCTTCTCGTTAGCTTAAGGGTCGTTCGGTCGCGAAGCTGTCAGCCAAACAGTAATTTTTTGCGGTTTGGAGCCGTGCCATGTGAAAAAAGCAGTCCCAAGAAGAGCCTAAGTTGGTTTAGGTCAGAATTGACACTTATCGTCTATAGGCTCCAATTTTGTATGACCAACAACAATCCCATCTTCAGTATATAATGTCTGACAAAAACTCTCTTTCTCTAAGAGGAGCAAATATTGCATCCGGGGCACCATGTGTTAAGCGGGCACACCTGGGATTGTGGGGCCCAACTATTGGAGTTTGGATGAATCCGGAGTGGCATCTGAAGTCCTGACCTAATAATTTTTCCTCTAAGAGGAGTAAGACTAGCACAAGCTCAAGATCCATTGCTTTACTGACTTAGGATCTTTTAGGGTGGCTGTAACTTAAAAAAAAAAAGATAAATGTGAGAAAATAATATTTTAGAAAGCTACGATGAAAATTATAAACATATATTTTTTCTAAAAAAATTAGATAAATTTTTTACAGTCACCTCACTTGTTGAATAAAACTATTTTACATCATTGAAATTTTTAGAAAATGGTAAGAAAATAGTTTCTCAAACAAATCTGTTTTGACAGTCTAAAACACAAAGTATGCAGAAAGTTGTCCCGAATACGTCATTTACCTGATCTCACCTATCATTAGTTTTGGTCAAGAAAGCTGTCCCGAATAGAACATTTCCCTAACCACTCGATCGCGCAGTGCATGGTAGATGCACTTAGACGGGCTTCAACCCATGGCCCTAAGGGACTCACAACTAACAATATAGCTGCCAACCAAAAAGTCACGATGCACGACACTTGTAATA